GAAATTCATCCAATAAGAGAAAAAGAAATATGAAAGAAAATGGATCAAAGAAAAGAAAAGTTCAACAATCACCAAAGAAATTAATTACTCTGATAATTTGAAAGAAATACTTCAAGAATATGAAATTAATGGTAAAATTGCTACGAAAATAAGAAATGATGATAAGGTAGCTCTCTATTTTAAACTTGATAATGGGTTTTTAAAGATAATTCACTATTTTGATAATAGTTCAGAGAATGTGAAAGGCATGCAAATTATCAAATCCATTCAGCATGACAATATTAATCAGATTTTTCAATTTAAGAAACTGTCCATAACTAGCTCACAATTAGATGAATTGTTTTTTGAAAACATTTCAGTTACAACCAAATCAGAACCAACAATATTTGATAGAGGATGGATTATCGTTGAGAATAAATTTCAACACTTCCACATAGGTTCCACAACAGTCAATCACTCGAACAGTATTCAATAACATTTTCACAATTTGTTGGTGATATTATTACTTTCATTATTTACCTGAACCAAAAAGATTTGAATACCAAATTATTATGTTTTATCAAGTTAATGATGGATGCTATTGAAGCAGTTAATATATTACATGAAAATAATATTATTCATTGTGATATTTCAATTAGAAATGTTGGCATGTTATTTACAAAACATGTCATGACATCATATGCCAAAGAAAAAAGCTCAATATTGGAAGCATTGCCAAATGTTTCAAACTGTAATTTCATTTTGATTGATTTCAATCATTGTAAAGTGGAAGGACAAGAACAAGCAACATTGAACATTTTTCCAGAATGTAATTTTAAAAAAGAAAATATTTTCTTTCCATTTATATCAGAGGCATACTATCCTACAGATGAATTGGTTCAATTTACAAAAGAACATGATTATTATAGTATTGCTTTAGTTTTGTCACAATTATTTTTGGCAATTGTTTGTAATGTTTCAATTTCTGAAATATTTAAATGGGAAAATGGAAATTTAAAAGAATCAGTATTGAGCGAACTCAATAAGAAAATGAAGGAATTTAATAATTTTGATGTGATTATTCAATTGTTGAAGGATGTTATTGAGAATGAGGGTAAATCTGACATTTGCAATTTCACCAAAACATTCAATTTACTATATGAAAATGTTATTCAACCCAATTAAGGATAAAAACTAGTAGTAAAGTATACATCATTGTTGCAACAAATTTTGTTATGATATAATGTGTGAGTATTATTTATTGAATGAAACATTTCTTCTTTTCATCATCAATTTCCGAATCAAATTGTGAATCTTCATCAGC